CCACTTGAAACGCCTTGCGAGGCCTATAGGCAAGCACTTCCGTGCCCGGCGCCCCTTGAGCGCTGTGCATTTGCACACCTACGAAAAGAGCTAAGTTTAGAATGCCCGCGCCGCAGCGCAGCAGCATCCTTCGACACGAATGTCAGCTATATGTACTCTCTTGCCCTGACACAGCTACACTGTACAACAGCCGAGTTCAAAGGTAGGGGTCTGTGGTCACATGTCCTGTCCATACTGGGAAGCCCAAATCTCGTAAATGTGCAAGGTCCTGTTCACTCACTCTCCAGCCATCGCGGATGTGATACCCTATCAGCACAGTCCGGCTCCCCGTCCATGGGATGGTAGCATGAAGGGTGTGCGCATTGAATAAAACATACGGCGGCTTGACCTCCAAAACAGTTCCTTTATGACCATCATAGAGAACATCCCCCTCTGCGTCCTCCAGCCATAGTCCCCCGCCTGTGGTCCATGTAGAGACGGGCATGACAATGCTTTTCGTGGCCGGATGATTATGGCTGTCTCTATGCAGGCCGATTTGCATGTCTGAACTGAGCACAACTGTGGAAAAGGGCTGTCCCGAGCATCTGGAGTTAATCGCAGCCACGAGGAGCCTGGTAAGCCAAGGGTAATCCTTGGCATTATTCATGACTCCTGCCTCGCCGCCAAAAATCCATGCTCCTGCCTGAAAAGCAAAGGCGTTTGCACTCATGTTGATACGCTCCTTGGTTCGCTTGGTTTGGGGCAGCAGTGGCCGTAACATGTTGAGCATTACCTCAAAATCAGCATACGTAACAACTTGTCGTTGAAGGCAGCTCTGGGCGTAGCTCTCCAACGGATTCGCCACACGCATTGATTGCCCCGCCGGTTGCGGTGCGCTGAGTAAAAACGTTTCCTCTTCGGCTGCAGCTGAATCATCACCCCTAGGCTCGCAGTATCTGGGCTCGGCTCCATTGACATATTCTGTCCAATTGGAGATGACCTCAGCATATGACATAGCCTCTGGCGTTGAGGCCCCATACATTCGGTCCCCAATGGGATCAGAGTCCGCGTCGCAGGGCATGTGGGATGGGGGTAGGACTAAACCATAGGGGCAGGGCCGGGCTACACAAAGAAAGACCCGGACTAGACAGCGTGCGGGGTGCTTTTAAGATAAAAACCCCACGGTGGGCTGCAGTCGCTGCCTGAGGGTGTGGCGTAACTACAGCCTGGTGGTAGCTGTTTGTTGCACTGGGAATGTAGATATCAGCAGGGCCTGGACATGTAACTAAAACATGCTGGCATGTTGCAGCATGAGCTATACAACGGCTGCGCTGTGCATTGGGCAATAAGGGACGTTAACAGGCTCTTGCATCAAAGATCAATCATCTGAGTGCGAGCATAGCGATGTACCGTAGTGTTTCACGCCTCGGTGAATGGTGCGCGGTTTGCATCGGTCGGCTGACCATGGTCAAATTTGGCTCCCCGTGGCGAACCACAGCAGGAGCCTCAGCACTCGTCCGCAGGCCGATGACGTAACAGGCCCACGAGGTACAAGTTTTCTTCCATCCATTGGACTTCAGAGGACTTAAGTTTACGGGCCGGCGTCCCATCATCTGACAAAAAGTGCTGGCGCGAATTGCTCAGTACGCTCTGATAGTGGCCTGAGTTTGTGCTCTGGCCCGTGTGAACGATAGCAAAAGCAACGCGATAATCATGAGTGGCCGCCTCAAGCCCCTGGCCGGATCGGAAAACCGGCATGGGGACGACTTCCCCAGGTTTGCACCTGATGCGTGTATGCAGCTTGCGCGGCGCATGTCCTTCCCATATGAATCGCTTAATCTGAAGAACTACACATGGCGGTGCTGAGGTAAGGGCGTGCGGGCACTCATGCTCATGCCATCCCTGGACAATTGCTCCCAGGGTGCTGGCATTGGGCTCCAATTGAATGGGCTGCCACAGATATGCTGCGTCCCGGACTTCAGTCCCGGCTTCGCGGAGACGTCTGGACTCCCACGTACCTGTCATAGCTGCGGGCTCAGCATACTCCATGAGGTGAGCCCAGAATTCAGCAACGTCGTGTTGAATGTTAAGCTGGGGCCACATGCGCAGGGGTTCCATCCATTGCAAAAGACCTGGCACATAGACTGGCTTGCGGGCTGTGGTGGAAGGTATGCTATTGAGGGCCCTACTCAAAGCACCATAAATCTCATGAGGTACGCCATGGAGTCGGCCTGTCCAAAGAAGCGCTTGAACACTAGCATTGAGGTAGCAGACATTATGTGGGTTGCGTAGATGCAATGCTTGCGGGCGTTGTACGGCGCTGGCCTCTCTTACTTGAGCTCCTGGTCCGCCTCCTTCTCGTTGCCGCCCTTGTTGTCGCCGCTGCTCTTCGCCTTCCCCGGGTTCGTCTGGTCGAGCAGGTTGGCCGCCACTTCCGACAGCTTCACTGCCAGCGGCTGCCTTTTGAGGCGATCCTGGCGCATCCGGGCGCCGATGAGGCGCATGCAGGCATTGTCGCAGAGCTTGACCAGGCAGCTGCGGAGCTCGTCCGCTAGTGGGCCTCTGTTGGAAATCATGAGAATCATCGGGAGGACCTCGGACTGGTACTTCTCCGCCATCGGCCGCGTGGCATGGAATTTGTGGAGCACGTTCTCCACTGTGATCAGCTCGAAGATCCTGTGGATCGAGGCCTTGATGTCGGCGTGTGGCAGCGGAGGGCGCTTGGCATCCACCTCCTGCGCTTCCGTCTCCGGGTTGTAGACCATGTAGGCCCAACCAGGTGGGTTGGCCCTTGTCACCCACCCATGCTTCTCCATGGTGGGCCTGTTGTCGTCTTCGAGGGCGGTCTCCATTAGCCGTCGCATGTGGGAGAGCATCGAGATGATCAGGGTGGTGCGCAAGGATTGGTTGCACTGTCCGGCCTCCTTCTTCACCTTCCAGTCTGCACTGATGTCGAAGAGCTGGCGGGTGATGCTGAGGCTTCCCCGGGTGTCCAGGTAGAGCATGAAGCTGGAGTCCACCCGGACCGCTGCTTCCGTGTCTTCGTGGCGTAGGCAGAGTCTGGTGAGCAACGCCACGATCTCCCG